ATAACTGCTTCCAGATCAAATGCTTCCCAGGCATTTTATGATTAGATCGATTCGATTGTTTTACAACTACCAATACGGTCCGTTTTGTCTATGAGTTTCACTTTTTGGAGTTTTTCTTATTTCCGACATGTGAAATGTATTGGATTAGAGTTTATTTATGATAACCGACACAATTACTTCGTCCTTGTTGGGACTCATCCGAATTGCGCGTTTTCCGGATTTTTGTGCTGAACACTAACGCAAGGGAACAAGTGGTATGCAATAAAGATAAGTTTCAGCAAAGATAAAGTTTTTCGTCCAACGTCACCATTGGCAAGACATTCGGTGCACAGAGTATTTTTCTCTCCCTCTTTCAGCAGAGCGACTTCTCACAATGTTATTTAGCCAACTTGAAATTGACCGACCAGAACTAATCTGATACTTCATCCCTCACCCCCAACCCCTGTTCCAGGTTTGTTGTTTGGCAGTCTAATTATGTTTTGCAAGACCTGCTACTATCACCGGATGCGGATCACCCGCGTGATCATAAGCCCCCCCCCCCCCCGTATTCGTTAATTGAGATGGGGCATGCACAATGAACAATCCGAGGTGGTATCACAGACTTCAATTGCAAAGCTCAGAAACAAGATTTGTGTCACAGTTTCGCCCGGAAAGAAAAAAAAACAGACAGACAGACAAATACAGAAACAATAAGGGTCAAAAACATCCCGAAAATAATGGAGGGATGTACAATCATGATTACGCATATGTCTGAATCCGGGGAAAGAATCACATGAGACAACAAGAGAACAAAGACTGTCGAACAAATAGAAAAAAGAGACGAAAATCCGTCGTCACAAAAACCATGGTCCAAAGATATAATGATAATGATGATTATGAGGCAAGAAAAAGTAAATATCTTGTACTGATTCTTTCTTCCTTGCGGAATGTCAGTTACATGAAGATATACAAAAAATGAACATATCAATTTGGTGATCCCATTCACTTTTTCTACAGGAAGCATTCAACACTACTGCTTAAGTATGTGTGTGCGTGCAAGGAGAAAAATGCCATTTTATGCGGTTGGGGACTTGGGAGAGTAGTTAGTGTCGACCCAAAGAGAATTGTTTCTCAATTTCCGCCTCGGAATACTCCACCAAACCGGCAGAACCGATTGGATTTCGCGATGTCCGAAGCGGATCCACATGTGCCGAGAGTGGTGGGAGTAGATCAGTCTCGTCCTCATCATCTAACTCCTCATCGGGTCGGACCACAGCAGTACCCGATTTGAAAGCGGGTGAGAACCGTCCTTCAGAATGATCGAGCGCGGATTCCAGAAGGTGAACACGATCTTCTGGACGCGATCGATATGATTTCCCTTGGGTCAGAGAAATTGATAAAACGGGGGTTAGAAGATATTGAAAGTGTACCAGATGGAAAGATGGTCAAATCACATAAGAAAACAAATAACTTGGGTTTGGTTTAGAAATATACTTGAGAAATTTCAGCCGCGGTAGCTAAAAGACACCAATGTGTTGCAGACAAATACAACTATCAGCATACCACTGGGTAGACAAACAAAGCGCAGCGAGCACACGGGGTTAGGTCTGATAAATCACAAATCATAGCCTGAAACATCGGTTGACCAATGCACACTGGAGCAATTTTAGCGTTTAAAGCTCACTACTCGGGGTTAGCCGTGATTGTAGCACAGTGGGATAGAACGGTAACACGGTTTCGCATTTTCCCTTTTCATTATCGATACTGAACACTAAACGTCCCTGCATAACACACTGGAACGTAAAATGGATTCGAGGTTCACGTGTCGATGCTCATGAAAAAGCTTTGAAAACACTGCGGGGCTATTACATTTTAGTCAGGGATTATTAGCAATGCGTGTTAATCAATCGAACTTTTTTTAAAATTTTTTTATTACACACTCGTGTGATGAACAGCAGACCGGGACTTGCTGTTCAGTAATGGAAACCGGTAACCTAAACCCCGGGACTTGGAGTGGTAAACCACATAAGGCTCCGAAAGGTTGGTATTGAACCAGACGACAGCAGAGCTGCCTACCACCAAAGTCAGGTGGCGGTGGCGGAGCTCGAACCTCGGACCATGGGTGACAGCGACTAAACCACTGCGTCGCCACCACTCGAACTGTCGGGATTAGTACCCAAATTCGAATACAATCTACTCCGTTGAGGTCACTGCCGTGTGACGTAGCAGATAGCAATCGAATCCCTGGCGCGCAGTTTAGTTCTGTGTAAAAAGCCCAGCGGTAGTAGCATGGACAGATAGCCGTCCTACCCAATAATTCTAACGATGTACTTACGTTTCACTCGATTAAGTAATTGTAAAAGCATATTGTATGATTGTAGTTCGGGATGATGATGTCGGTTTTGAGGGCTTCCGAAAATTCGCACTGAGGATATTGTCTATTTTGGCTACGAAACGTTTGCAAACAGTATTCACAACTCAGAATATACCAACATCGACATGTTAAACGAAATTCGTCAGGAAATGGGACGCAACGAATTCAAGGGTTGCGACCTCCTCTAAATAAGACTACTGTTCCGGTTGTGATTTATTGAAAATTCCGGTAGAGGCGAATCAAACCTACTGTGCGATTCGTGTAACCGGTTGGAATAGCTCCACCATCTTACGGATTGTACAAAGCCTATAGATGCTAACTGTAACAAAAAGAAAAATCGGATGAGTTGCCTTTAGGGGCACATTTTACTGTCATTCAAGTGGAAATGCAGTGAAACAGTCGGAATAGTGGTGGTTTAGGGACTGTTTCCCATATATTTACGAAACCACGTGGCGGATCTGTGCCGAGTTTGCTTCGGGCCACCTCTACCTTGTCAACATCGGTGCACGATGACCATCGAGTGAGGTTATACTCGAACAGCTTTTCAGGCGAGAGAAAGTGTTACGTGGAAAATCTTGTCGAAATGGAACGATAGAGACTGAGATATGGGTTTTAAAAGGTTGTCACCATGAAATACACAATAAAGTAAATCAAAAAGAAGTCCACTTTCTCTGCCCATATGGAGAAAAAGCCAGCATGAATTTCTATCAAACCTTTTAAAACTTGAACTGCAGCTCGTTTGCAGCTGTTCGACTGAGGATCCCGCAAGTGTACATAATCGGACAAATCACACGAAAGTCGAATCGCTTTATGATTAGACACGCACTCGAGAACACGTCACGTACCCGAACAGATCTGTTGGGTGTAACGAAGCAGTTTGTCTTCTTTGTGGCTTTCCTCGGTGGAGCTCGCCTTCCAGGCTGAGGTTTAATGAATGAAGGCTGTGGCTGGAAGATGTTGAGGTAAGAAGTAAGCTATCCAACCAGATGTCAAAAAGGGAGACTCGTCAAACGCACATCACTCACAGTCTGTCTTCCCCCGCTCTCTGTTCGTTGTCTGCTTTGTTATTCGATTTAATCCCATGACAATTACCAGTTGTCACAAACACAGTGGGTGAGAGCGACAAACACCTAGTGATTATTCACGAGTGGATTGGAAGTAGCAGAATTCCAACCCTTTGGGAAAGTCTTCATCAAACCACATACGTCGATCATTTCAAATTCGGAATTGTGAAAAAACATCGGCATAAATGCTCCACACGGAATGGATGATAAGAGGATTGAGGCAAGAAAGTCGTGAAAACCACGCGACACCGTGCTTACTTGATCCGGTGGATGAGAATCGGAACGAATCGTCGACCGGCGTGAGGCGCTCGTTTCTGGACAGCATCATTCGTTCTGAAATAGTGAAATATGCGTGAAAAATGGTTAGGCATGGTTAGACAAGTAAAGAATGGTACGTCAACCTTGTAAAATATTCCGAGGATCCTCTACCATCAAGTCAGTAACCTTTATCTATTTATGCACTGTGCCATATCCCAAACGTTTGCATACCATACAAAGCTTTGCATTTATATATCTTCGCTCTTCCATTTAACAGAGCTTCCTTTCTGAACTTGAAGCCCTATTTAAATCGACATCGTGTCAATCTAGTCGACTTTATTACGAAAACCTAATTAAAGCGTATACGATCGACGAAATATAAATTACACTCATGGAATCTTCTATCGATAAAAGAGTAACAGCGCGAAACCAATGTAAGCGGTAGGACGAAAACAGATAAATGCAACAACAGCAGCTAACAATAATAATCAATGCTGCCAATTCTAGTCTAAATGCACGGCCTGGGAATCGTGGTTTGTCGATTGTCCATGGTAAGGCTACTTCATTGTGGTTTTTCTGCTTTTTCAGGGACTTTTACATCCTAACCGGGGCATTTTTTTATCGCTAAATGACATAGCCAAACGATATTGCGGGATTTTATTGAATTCTGGATTATATAGCCTTTCTAGCATCTGGTGCAAGTCTAACGTACCACACAGCATGTAGGGTAAATATTTACCGTTTACCGTCATTTCCTCGCTCGGGCTGAAAGCCTCCTCCACCAAGGCAGCAAGACCTAGGATTATCCAACTGAGAGGTGTCCGGATCGCCTATGGATCAGTGGGCCTTCCGTGTCTTGCTTGGTTTTAATGATCAGTGACTGTAGGGGTTGTCACTGTCCATTATTAAACTCACCTATCCGGTAACTTCTGGGAGCATCAGATCGGATAAATGCTCCCAGCACCGCATTTGTACTTTCGCTTGGGTGCCCCGAACTATTTCCGGGAATTTGTGTACGGAACGGACCTTTGGAAGGTGAATGGTTTCTTCACCACCGATCACCTGAAATTTCAAGTCTAGCCTTTGGGACTCAAAAACCCCACATCCAGTCACAGTACTGGTCTTCAAAGACTCAACCTTCCCTTTTGCACCAATTTCGAGTAGCAGTTCGGAATCAATCAAAGATATATCCGAGTCATTGTCTACCAAGGCTATCGTCTGTACCTGGCCTCCGGGTCCAGACTATAACACCGGGACAACTGCTAACGCCACTTGTGATCGGTCAGAATGTTTCAAGGTGTAGCAGGTTGCCTTTGGATCGTTTGGCTTGGTCCGGTGATCATCAGGATTTGTGTGTAAGAACGGGTGGTGAGGAGTCCTACATTGATTTAACCTGAAGCTCTTACGGGAACGGCATGAACTGTGATTGTGGTTTGATTTTAGACAAAGAAGGCACAATCCTTTCTCCCGGTACATTTTCATGCGTTGCTGGATGACATATTGACGAAATCTATTGCACTCGTCCAAATAATGGTGTCCGCCACAACATGAGCACGTTAGGTAAGGCCTTTCGGAACCAGAGAATATGAGTGGAATCTCATCTGTGCCACTTGTTTGTTGCCTGGAAATTTCGTCGATCGTACTATCTGATTGCGCTTCCGTAATAAAGTTGACCACGAGAGATAATTTCTACACCCGAATTCAATACCCTTCGATTTCGGATGATGAGAAATTCACCGCAATCTCCAAGCTGGAACAGGCGCAAGAAAGAATCAGACGCGGAGAATTTTCAACGGACCGCTTTTGTATTCCAGAAACCACCCTGACTTTCCCGGTGTTGAATCAGATTACCGTGGCAGGAAATCTAAAGCTAAAATTGTGTTTTGATTGGACATTGTGAAGAGAAAGATCTAGGGAGAAGGGTTCTCAAAAATCATGCGAAGTTCCGGCAATTAACAGCTTTTGGGAAGATCGAAAACGAATGCACTTTTGGCAACAGGTAAAGAATGGATACCAGAAACAAATGAATTAGAAAACTACTGGGGTCCCTTGGCAAACTAAGCTTCCCCCTCCCCCCCCCCAAACAGAGAA